GTAAAAATCCTTTGATGTATACCATTGTCCAAGTAAAGGTTTTATATTTGGCCATTTTGTCTGACACTTGATTAATTTACGAAAGATAGCTTCGTCTGCAACAATATCTAAAAATGAATGATTTTCTAATGCAAAGTCTTCTTTATACATTTCAGCCACATGTAAAATCTTTTCATCTGGATTTAGATTGACACCTGGTTCTAGTATTACAACATTGAGAGAAGACCTACAACATCCACAATCTAATTTAGTAAATATAGTGTGTTTAACGGTTTCTGCATCAAAATTTGTATTATAAACTAATTCTTCATTGATTTTTTTAAAATCCAGTAATTTATAAAGAACTTGCTAAAATATAGTTAACGTTTCATCAACAACTTGATTCATTTCAATCAATGGAGTCTCAACTATTAATTCAATAATTTCCTCTGGTTCAGCTTCTATTTCAACTGAAAATTAAATTTGAAATGTCATCCTTAGAGTAGCATATGAGTTATCACGTATAACATCATAAATGTTACCAAATTTGAAACTTTTCTCCTTGAAATCGATGTTATCAATGATTGCTAAATTCCAGACATATTTATCTTGAATGAGGCAGCTTGCTGGATTTGATTTTTCCATTTGAGCTTTACAAGTGATCATTCATGTCTATTACTATATGATGTTACATGAAAAATTGTTAATAACCGTCGAAAAAAATCCAATAATCATGGCATACGACCAAGACTAGCCAAAACTTGAGGAATCCAAATTTTTAAGTGAGAAAAGGCAATTCCTAATAACATAGACATTATAAATGTTACAATTTTCATTATCTATTTAGGAAATATAGTTTTTGGTAAGTTATTACATTTTTTTCGCTGTCAGTTGCATACTTTGTTTTTATTCTGATATAATTCATTGATTATTTCAGAAAAGAAATCAGTTAAGAATTTGGGAAAACTATTATAATATTTCCAGATAGTATTTGGAGATTCTAGTGCAGGTTAATATCTGATTGTGTATTCCATAATTTTCTTCTGAATGCACGTCTAAATTTCTGAAGATAATTACAAATAATCAAATAAAATTTTTGCTCTATAGATGATACTTTCTATCTAATTAAATTAAAATACATATCACCTCAAAATCGCTTATTTCCAAATTTTTTCAATCTTTTTTTTTTATTTTTTTTAGAAGTTTCTATAAAAATCATTCTTATTATAAATAGACTAGATGCTTCAGTTAGAGGAGTTTCCTAATTTGTTTGGCTAGGAGTAGTAGACAATTTATTAACAAATGGAAGGAAAGTTTTGAATGTCTCAATTAATAAATCTTTTTTGATTTCATTATTTTCTGTTTGTGCAATATTAATTAACCAATCGCCTAAAAATTCAAGTGCCTTTATTACTTCTTCTTTGTGTAAACTTTTGGTAATACATATTACTGCTTTTTTTCCTTTTCTGAGATGATGATAAATATGCCCACCCAATTCTTCGTAACATAAATAACAAATATATTGAGGTTTTATAATATCAAATGCACGTTTACATAAAGGTGGATATGCTCATAATGCTTTACATATATATTGACTAATGCAAGGTGTTTGGATATTTTGACTATTCAAATTCTAAGTATATATAGTGCATTCTGTATTCTGTGAAAAATATGTCATATATTTATCACAAAAAATATACTAACGTTATTGAATAATTGCTTGATCAACACTTTTCAATTGTTTATTTTATGATTTGTGCAAATATTTATTATCAAATTGAAAATGAGAGTCGCACACTCCTAATCTTAATAAAATGACATCAACTTCTTTAATACATCTCTATCAACTTGTCACATATCAAATAAATTGTGTAATGGCCTTAATTTTGTTAAATTTTCACATCGCTGAATTTTGTCTTTAACAAAATCAATAACTACATATGGCGCTAGTTCTATACACTTTAAAGGATTTATAATTTCTTCTTTTTCAAAAGATTCATTGTCATACGTATTTCTCGTTTTCTTCAAAGTTATTAAAATCATCAGAATCTATATCACTAGTGCTAATATCATCAGATATTTCGTATAAATGTTCTAGTGAAAATTCTTCTTGTTCAAATTCTCCGTTACTGTTATATTCTTTTTTTTGCAAAAAACAAGGGTAGGGAAGAGGAAATTTCACAGTTTTGTTTAGACATTAAAATTTTTTTTTACCAAAAAAAAGGGCAACTTGAAAGCTGAGATGCAAGTTTTTTAAAACTTTTTTTACTAAAACAAAGATAAAAATGATCTTTTTTATTTCATTTTATCGCTTTTTCTAGTGTTATGAACTATAGTTGGACAGTATTTTTATATGTTGTAACATTGTCAAGTTTAGCAATTTTTTGCTCATTATATACATTACTTATAGTAAAAGTTGACCAATAATTGTCCAATCTCAATAAAATTGGCATATTACAAATCATAAATAATATGAATCATGTGTAAAATTTGAGTATGAGTTATTATGTAGAATTTTTTTATATAACCTAAAAACTGTTTTATCAAAAGTGTTAAATTTTAATATCGATCACATAATAAAATTGACTTCCCATGCTGATCCCTGATATTTCCACTGACTGATTTCTAAATTTATTATATATATTAAAAAAATTATTATGCCTTATTGAGAAATTTACATAATTTGCAGTTTATCAAAATTATATAAATAAGAAAAGGTAATATTGGAAGATAATAACACTATTATAAAATATTGTCATATCATATATTTAAATTTGATAATAAAAAAATCAAAATTTAAGATTACTTTAAAATATTATATATCAATTATTTCTGAATTAATTTAGGTCAAACTTTTAAGTTAGTCAAATTTAAATTAAATTTTATGATAGATAAATAATCTTCTTTTGACTAGTGATTGTATTAATTTTTACTTATTATAAATTTTTTGAAGAATATACAAAAGATCATATACATATATCTCAAAAAATAAGCTGAATTATTTACTTTTTTTTGAATGTCTTAAAAATTAATTTTTTATAAATTTATATAAAGATTAAAGATAGTTACTACAATTAAAAAAATAATGCAATTGAGTTGCAATTTGTGATACAATTAAATTTCCTTATAACACAATTAAGTTTTAACTCAACTGAAATTTGAAAATAATTATAAGAATCATCTTTAATAAAGATCTTAATAATTATTAAAATCATCTATTATATTATCTTACTTATTAAGCTTATTAAGTTTACTTAAATACTTAATTTAATATTAACTTATTAGATCTAAATAAAAAAGGTATTGTATTAGTTATTAATTATAAAATGAAAAATATTATTAAAAAGTTTAAAAAAATCAAAACAAAATTTTTTGAAAAAAAGATTAAATATTATATTTGATTCTTATATATGTTAAAGTTAGAATCTTAAGAATTATTGATTAATAAATATATGTCAAGATTCATAATTTATTACTTCTTCATAACATATTGTAATTATTTATTCAGATAATAATTTATATTATTATAATGTATATCTAATGATAATTTTAAATTATAAGTTATAATAGTATTAAATAAATTAAAAAAAATGAATATTTTTAAATGCAAGAGAAATTAAAATGGCTATTGATAGTCATTATACTTAGGTATTAAATAAAAATAAATACTTATTTTATATAAAAAAAAAATCTAATATTTTTTCTAATAGATTACTATAATTAAATATCAAGTATCAACTTGAATTAGATATATAAAAAAAAGCTGGTTTTGAAACTGCAATTAAAAATATTTGTAAAACATGATAAATATTTAAAACTAAATCAATTAAAAGGTATTGTATATTTAAAATCAAAGAAAATAATAAATAAATATTATCTAATTTGATTTATTCTATATTTAAAAAAGATAAAAAGCAAATAATACCTTTATAGTAATTCTAATTTATTTGAATGGATTTGATTAGGAAAAGAATCAATAAAAGTTTATATTCTTAATTAAGAAATACTTAATATTAGAAAATAAACATGTTTTTCACTATCACAAATAGCTAATTTTCAAAAAAAAATAAAATAAATGCCTAAAATTAAAGTATTAACTTATACAATTTCTAAAAATCTATGGAAAATTTTTATGTCAAATACAGTATCTATCAAATCCTGAATATTACCATATTAACAAAGAATTCTGAAAGAATAATAATGAAAACTTTGTAATAAATTCCATATAATTCACTAAAATCGATTATTTTTAAACTGAATACATTAATATCACCGAGTTTTCTAGACCATGAATTTTTTATCAAAATAGCATCCTTGATCTATCAATTTGCAGAGTGACTTTGTTTACCTAAAACTGCTTTAAGATACTATACTGAGTACACGCACTTTATAACTTATAATAAAATATTACAGGGTATGTATATTTTTGCTTCACTTTGTAACTCTCAATACCTATATTTTTTTATGCAAAATTTCTACCTACTCACCTTGAAAAACTCTGACATCTAAGAACATATGAGATTACGTTACTTTTGTTTCTTATTTGAAACGTAAGAAATAGTCATTTTAGAGCTACTTACGTTATCACTAGGAAGTAATTATTACTTCGTCAATGTCTGTCTTTACTACTTCTTAGCATACCCTCCATATAATTTAGTACTAGTATTTTTTGATAGAAACAAAGGCACAGTTTAATTAAAGTGACTATGATAACTTAAATAGGAAGGTGTGTTTTTTTATTTTGCAGACTTCTAGTCGAACACGTTGTCAACTCTAGAGAATTACTGGATATGATCACTTAGTAGCTACTCTCAGTACTCTATTCAGGCATTCTTCTTTATCATTAATAAGAGTCTGCCAGCTTTAGAGGAGAAACTGGTAATGTACCTTCCTTTATTACTAAATAAAATTCACATACACATCATTTACTATCTGTTGTCTTTTTATTCTCTTTGTTAAATCAGAATGCTCACAATATATGAAAAATATAAAAGGATATTAAAAAGGCATAATCTGGAAATATGAGATGGTAAGTTTGCATATAATTCGATTTCAAAGTAAACAAACTCATATATTATATAAATAACTCTGTTATTATTTTAGAGGTAAATATAACAAATTATTAAGCCAAAAAGAATCAGGTTCTTCAAATCCTTTTTGAGTTTGATGAGCAAATACGAATAAAGAAAGCTAATTTGTTTGAACTTACAAGCAATTGGAACAAGAGGAATTTGTCAGATAAGGATTTTTAAACCTCAATGAAGTAGAAGATTTTATCAGAAGAAGGTTTCAGTGATCCTTTTAGATGAGAGAATACTGGATCCTACAAACTTAGATGATAACGGTTTTTCTGCAGGTGATGCATCAGAGTCTTCAAGCCCTCAGCTAAGAGTAAACAGGAAGAGAAAAAGAATCGCATCATGTGATACTTCTGAGACCTCCCTATCTTATCAAAAAAACACCTAAAATTAAGAGCATGTGAATTATAATATGAGGACTTAATCTAAAAAGTAACGCAAAAATAAGCTTGTAAATATCATTTAATGTATATTTCATTGAAGTATAGTCTTTTATCAATTTATTTAACTTTTGCATAAACATTTAGGCTTTACGATCATCATTAGATATTAGTGAAGAGAATACTAGCTTCAGAATTATAGGTGATAGTGAAGAAATAGGTATTCCTAACTCTGATATTATCAGTGATTTTAGAGGAGATGGTAGTGATAACCTGCTTATAGATAGAGTTTGTAATTTGAAATGTCCATTACACTGTATATAGATTTTAGTGTATATATTTTGCCTAAAAAAAGCTCATAACCTTTTCGCTATGCTGGATTCAGATATCTGGATTTAGGATTCAGATTATTAAAAATATTATTATATTGATAATCTTTTTTCATCATCGACAGAAGCCTAAAAAATATTTTATATATATTATAATTCATATCAGAAAAATTATCTATGATTATTTTCAATTCTAGCCGATACTCAAGTTTTTTAATTTTTTTTTCATAAGCTTTTGCTAACTCTTTCTTGATAAATTCTTTTACCTTATCATTATGCTTGCAATCTCATATAATGGCTAAGGTCACAACTTCAATATGACTTGTGATGCAGTAAATATTAAGATGAAAAGTTTTGCCAAATCATAATCTACATTATTCTGGAAAGACTATTTAATATTACTACTATAAAAAACTGAATTCACCTCCTCAATCATAGATTTTGGTAGACTAGTAATTAATTTCTTTATAAAAAATATAGTGATAATAAAACACAGAAAATTACATGCGTGCTCTGTTTTGAAACTTTTAGCAAAAAAACTTCAATTATGCAAAACAATAAAACTTTAATATATTATATATTTATTATTATTAAAGATAAAAAAATACACTCGCTAAACTAACCTACTAGCAAATCATTTCCTAATTATTTTCTGATATAAATACTATATAAAACAATATATCAATTAAAATTGAATCTTTTCAATACATTCTTTGGTATTTTTTTCTTATTATATGCATCATTAATATCAATAAATTTTCTTTTGTTGTAAATGATATTTGCCTATTTTAGACTAACTCCTTCTAATAGCTTGAGATCTCTTTTATCTGCGTTATTTATATCTAAAAAACCTATATAAGTATACATAAACGCTCTGCAGTATAGAACCTGAAATATTCAACCCAATTAGATTTATCTACATATCTGGTATTTTTTAAAAGACTGAAGTAATTCATTTTCATTATAGTATAGAATAAGAAAAAATCATTCGCTAATGATAATTTTTCTCGTTCTTTTTGAAAATCAGTCTTGTTAAGAATTTTTTCAACTTTTATATTGATGCATTTAGTTTGAATTTGGAATGTTTGAATTCAAATCTAATCCAAGAAATGCATTACTATACAGTACTAAGACTCTGTTGATTATATAATATTTATCTTTACGAATATCAATAATACTATTATCACATTTAATTTCTTTTTTAGTTCTAGTATATAATTTGCCGAATTTGTATTCTCCTAATGAATTGTAATTTCTAATTCAAGATGATGATTTATAAATTAAAAATCACCACTATTCAATCTTGCTCCAGTGTGAATTTTCACAATCATTATTAACTCATTGTCATTTACTATTCTAGATTTTAATGTCTGAAAAAATGCAATAAAATACTCAAAGTGTTGCCAAAATTGAGCATCTGGTGGACTTTTTGTATTTAAATTTGACTAATAGTCACTATAATTATAAAAATACCAATCTTGAAATACTGGATTTTTACCATCAAAAGATTGCGTTAATATTCAAATCCAGATTTAAGAAGCAATCAGGTATCCAGATTGAATTTTACCTATTTATTTGTAGCTAATCAATCCTGGCCAAACTACTTTACCAAGATACTTACTCGTATCAGAGATAAATTTATCAGATTCTAAGAGTACTCAAGTTAATATCGCCTGACCTACAGAGGGTGGACAAAAGTATCTGCACACTTTTTCACTCAATATAAAACTTAAAATATTTTTGCAATAACAATAA